AGGAAACCAATGAATAAGTAAGCAAGTAAACAAACATAAATGGGAATAAAATTAATAAATAAATAATAATCAGTGGACCCACTGACGCAGAAAGTTTTTTGGTGCCAAACCTTAAAATACTGCAAATAGTTGCAACAACCAACTGGTCTCCAACAGACTGATCAAGCAACACAACCAACCTGATCCCACGGTGACTGCACAGGTCACCGGGTGGGAGGCAAACGGTCTCCAAACAATCACGGCCTGATGTGAACTGACTGCAAACACTTGCAGACTGACTGGTTTGCAAATGACTGCAGACTCATTTATTTAACCTGAGTCTGCAGCAACGAGCACAACTCATCTTGGTGTTTTTGATGGGGGACGTGACAGCTGGTTGCTAAATGTTTGTGTTGTGGCTATTTAAAAAAAATAAAATAATAAGATTGTCGAGCACCTTTATAATCTTTCAGTTAAATCACCACCTGCAGCAGCTACATGAATCTTTATAGACAAACTGCTGTTTGAAATCTGAGGTAAACGTGATTTTTTCTGTGAACATAGATGGCAACAAATTTGCGAGTTTACCAGTTAATCGCCGTCCCATCACATATGTTATTATTATCAACTTGACCTCATTCGATCCCAAACTAACAGCAGATCGACAGCAGACTAAACGTTTAACCCCTTCACGCGCAGCGGTCACCACAGTTACAGCTATTCAAAGGCTGTTTTCTTTTATTTGTGTCAGTCTTGATGGTATACTTGCTCATAAACCACTCCATACCTGCCACCCGCTGCTCAGCCAGTGGACTAAGTCAGGGGTGTCAAACTCAAATACACAGTGGGCCAAAATTTAAAACTGGAACAAAGTCGTGGGCTAACATTAATATTTATTGAAAAAAATCTTCCTCCAGATCTTTTCTTATGGACTCAAACAAGTTTTGCTGAAAAACTGAATATGGAACAAGCAAAGCTTAATACTAAACAATATATATATTAGCTGTATAATACCAGTAGGTCAACTCTAATAGTAATTTGGTATGGCTTCGTGGGCCAAATGTAAGTAGGCTGCGGGACAAATTTGGCCCGCGGGCCAAAGTTTGACACCTATGGACTAAGTGGACATGTAAAAAAACTCTTTGAAAAGTACGTTTTAAAAAAATGAAGTTCAAAAATCTTTTTTTATGCCTAAAGATGAATAAAAATACTTAAGAACAAAATCCTGATTGAGGTTGTAAAAATTCATGCATGAAAGAGTTAAATCACAACCTGAATGCACCAAAGCTGCTTCGAAGACAGCGATGAACCTGATCTCATTTTCAAAGGCAACAAGATCGTTCGTGTCACAATTTTGTTCATCGCACAGTCTGCGGTCGGTGTCTTCCTAGTGTCGCTGTAGCATTAGCTAAAGAGTTGCTTTGACTAAAACTACAAAAATCCACTTGGAAGCATAAAAGTCGTTTACTTTTATATTTTTCCTCTCGTGAGGCTCAGTTAAGGCCAGCCGCGATGGTTTTCAAAGTGAACCAAAATATCAGAAAGTTCTTTCTTGACATCTTACTTGTTTCAGATTTGACAGCTTAAAGAAATACCTTTACTTCTATTTTGGGGTTCATTTCTACTACGTCCCTGAAGCAGCAGCTGACATGTTCACAGCTGTACTAAGAAAATGCACATGTGTGTCGTTTTGCTCTTTCATGCACATTACCTTAAACGAGTTCAACCCTGCAGGACTATTTTGATTTATGGGAATGACCTCTTATTGCTTTTATGAAGCTTATTTTTATTTCATGTCCA